TTCTCTGAATGGAGAGGTGAGTCAGGACTGAACACGCATTAATGACGATTACCAGACAAACGGGCACAGGGCTGGCTGTGAAAGAACAGAACAGCAGCCTGTCGTCAAGCAACATCAGATAATTGTCAGCAGTGACGAAAATGCAAAATGACAAGGGGTTACTAGAAAATGTAGCTGCTGTATCAAAAAACACAAGAGGAAAAATTTCGAGATTTTTGACACATTTGAAAACCAGGGATTTTGGGAATTCTGCTTCTACTTGTCCAAGCCCACATTCCAGAACTTACATTCAGGCCAATTTCCACTCTGGGATGAACAGTGTTTGTTGTGACTATGCATAGGGAGTTCATTTCGTATTGCATCAGTCCCAAAAAACTAAAGCAGTTGTGAGGAAATTTGCAGGAGGGGTGTATTTTCAGACCGCCTCCGATTTCTATACCCAAATGACAAAACAGGCTCTCTTGGACAGTTCTGAGTCCATGTTAACAACTCCTCTATGGTATAACACTGGACAGCTACCACACAATCAAACGCAAACCTGTTGTCAGATTTCTTTTCACACCTCAGAAACGTGAGAATCTCACGTCCGTGTCTCACAAGTTCTGATCAAGTTTCTTAATTCGCCATTTCTCTCCGAGGTCCTGCGAAAGGCTGATGACCAAACAACATCAGCTCGAAGAGTGAGGTATTCTGTTTGTCCATATCCGACGGCACCAAGACCCACATCTCCAGCCAGCTGCGTTGTGGGGAGCCCTGAGCTGAGCACTGGCTCACAGAACTGGAGGAGAGCACAGGGTCAGAACCGGAGGGAGACCGACGAGGAAAAAACAGACATGACCTGAAGCAATAAACAACCCCATAATGTTAAAGCTAAACTCCCAGTGCTGTGAATCATTAAATCTCTGTGCATTCTTACCCGAGTCATGGCATCGAAACAATGATTTCCTGGAAGAGCAGCGTACAAGCCTGAGCTCAGCACAATATTTTCAAAACAAACACAAGCCTTTCCCTCCCAGTGTGAAGAGCGGACAGCCGCCCTGTGTTCTCCAACTCCAATAATGATCCAATTACTGACTTTTAAATGCTACGTGTCTGCAGCACTTTGAAGCCATGTATCGAAATGTTCGCTTTTTTGACAACGCTTCTTTTCCACCATTGCAAATGGAAAGAAATACCCCGCTTCTGTTGCAGCAGCTGCACTTAGAAATAATGAGTTTTTATACCATCCATCCGACCGAGGGGGTTGGGGGGGGGATTTTGGCGCAGATAAATGAGAAAGGGCTGTCTGCGATGTTATTTTTTTTTCTGAAGGGAGCGGCAACATGACCTGCAGTGCAGGCTGCAACACAAAAGAGAGGTTCAGTCACAGAAAATGGGAGGCTGGTTCTCTCCATTCCTCGCAAGCACCACAAGATGTCGCCTGACTGCAGGATTTTAAGGCTGAATCATCAGAAGACTCAACAGCTCTGGGTGTCTGTAGCCACACTCGGACAGAACCTCAGTCTTCAGACAGGGTACACTATCGCTGCTCAGGACCTCACAGCTCGGAGCTGAGCTCTCAATTGCTTACACAAATTCTTCATGTAGGCCACACCTTAGAGAAATTCACCCTTTTCTTTTCGACCTCCTAAAAAATGCTGATGATTATAAGTTACTTGTAACATTTTGCAGTCAACAAAGAAGTGTCTATCAGCAGTTTTTTAACTGAACACAAGTTCAGAAAACTGAACACAGAAATTGTCATTACTCATTACTTAACACTATTGAAAATAGCAGGCACACTATGTCACTGTGTCCAAATATCAGGACTCTGGACACACTGTCTGTCGGTTTTTACAGGATCTTCTTTTTTTTACCTTCATCCATTCCTGGAAAGGATCGAAGCAGCCTGGAACCCATTCCCAAAGGACAGGGTAAAGACCAGACTATGGTCTGCCCCAGAGAACGTGCACAGAGACACCATAAACCCAGCCAGCACCTCTTTCTAAGGAGATAGGAAACAAAGCATCACTAGAAAGGCCCATGCAAACCTGAGAAGAAAGTGCAAACTGCACAAAGCAGGTGGCCCAGCCATGAATCGGACCAAGAACCCCAGACCTGCAAGGTGGCAGTTATGTCACCTCTCTTTTAGTTCAACGAGTGTAATAATTACCTTATTACACTTAATCACTATTAATTTGCCATCAAAGAGTGGAAGGCGTCTAAAACTTCGACACCTTTTAAGGGCTTAAAACACTTGAATACATTCATTTGCAGTTGAATCCAGGCCTGTAATTAGGAGCTCAGCTGGGATAAAAGCCAAGCGACGCGCAGTTGGATGTGTGTGCCCGTCCTGCTCAGAAGCACCGCGATCTATTTTCGCCGCCTCCAGAAACTCTCCCGCGGCGGCCCACACCTCGGCGTTCGCGAGGGCTGAAAAAAAGTCCAAGATCAAGACCCAGGGACCCCGTGTCCCATAATAGAAACGCGCCTGAGCTTCAGAATGCCGATGGCAGCCCTGTGACGACATGCGAAAATAGAGTTTAAATTTAAAGCAGGTGAGGAGGGCACTGGCTGGCGCCTCCTGACTGTGGTGCTAGAAGAGGCCGAGAGCGAGGCAGCCCAGGACGCATCTATCCAAGTGCCACCCACCAGGGAGGGGACAGGCATTATGTCACGGTGCAGTTTTTGTTGCTATTTCTATGGTAACCCGAGTCCCCACAAAATTCTCTGGAGGTGCGCTTCAAACTAGAAAGTAAAGACTTACCATCAGGGCTTCCCCGTCTTCAGCTAGTGAAGGAACGGTTCATCTCACATGTTGGGATGGAGCCGGACTGGATTTACGAGAGTGGCTCTTGTAGATAAAGGTCTCCCATTCTAGGAAAGAGCTAAGCGTCTCCCAGACTCAACTCACAACAGACTGCATTTCAAGTTTGTTCCTCTCGTTTGAACTGAATTGGGTTTCATGGGACTCTCTTCTCATGAGAGTCTCCTCTGAACTGCAGGTACTGTGTGGCTGCCACTTTTTATCTGCTCAAAACCTGGGGCGACAGCTTTGAGCACAGGCAGCAGAAAGAGCATCTCAAGCCACCTGGGGTCATCCCTTGACTAACTGTCCCTTCTGCAAGAGACGCACACTGGACCTTGGCGGTGACCACTCCAAGGCTCTCCGACACCGTGTGAAAATGGGCTGGAGGCCAAGGAGCAGGCGACTGCTGACTGCTGCATGTAGTTTTCTACTCCTGCCTCTTCCCCTCTCCTGCTGCAGCTGCCCCTCCCCTCCTCTGGAGCCGGCGAGCGAGAGTCCTCGAAAGAGAGCAGGCGGATTCGCTAGATCTGTTTTCCCCTAATTCTCCACATTGGAAACAGCAGGGGAGCCCCGGGGGCTAAGCAGTTACACAGTATCTAAACAGAATCAAAATTGGAAACTTACAGTACATTTGGGTTTGATTTACTTCTTCGGAGAAGCCCTGACTTTCTCCTTCTCCCCACGACGCCCCCTCGCCACTGACACTCTCTACAGACCTTACAAACTGTCTGTGG